GAGTCTGTTGGCAGTTGACTAAACTAGAGTCGAGTCGACCCCTTAAGTGTTACGGGGAAAGCCCGACACATGATCTCGTCAGGGAATGCATGGAGGACCATGAGGGTCATATAAGTTTCCAAATGGTCGACCGGGTCCGTTGTGCCATTGAAAGAGTCGAGCGAGGGCATTTTAAACTTAGGAGGGAAGGGTTTGTCCCTGATGGAGGCAACGAACGGTGAGTTGGCTGTGGTAGATGGTTTATTCTGTATGTTCTGCATGACTCCTTGGAGCTGGAGCTTCATGGCTCGGAGTTCTGCATCCCAGAGAGGAACGTTGTCACCACCGGAATGCAGCGGAGGCTGGACACTACTGGCCTCTCCCTCGGGTGTGGGTGTCTGGACTGATAGATGTGGGACCTGGGGCGGTGGGTTCATATCTGGGGGAGGGGGTCGCAAGCCTTCCAAGTTGGGTAGGTAGGGCTGTTGGATAGGATGGCTCGGGGCTCGTTCTTGGTTGGGTGGGATATCTTGAGGTGGAGAAGGAGGAGGGATGGGAAGGTCTCTTTGAAGCAAAGCATTGATCAGGGCTTGGTTTTGCTCTGCTAAGCGGTTGATGCTGTTGGTAAGTTCTGTGAAGTACTGCGGTGGGTTGTTTGGATTAGGAGGGTCGCCTTGGTGGTCGGCAACATTGTGGTAAGAAGCCATGGATCTAGTTGTGACCATCCACCTTGGTGGGTGGCAGGAAGAGGTTATTGGGAAGGGGTCTCCGGCGACAATGAGCACAACTGGCGCGTGGAGCAAAAGGATTCCCACAAACGGCGCCAACTGATGATACAGCGTGTTTCAGATGGAACGGGTCAGATTGATCCACGCTTCCCAAACCGGTGCCCGAGATACCAAGCCCATAGAGAGACCTGCACAAGAGTTCAACGGGGAACGGGAAGTCCTCCAGCGAACCCTCCGACGAGCAAGTTAGAAAGAGAGATGGAGTGTACAGATAAATTAGTGATACATTAGTGATAGAAAGCTTAACCTTTTCCTTGTCTTCGATGCCTGCTTATATCCTCTGCTAATCATTTCGTTGTACCTTCCGACCTGTCACCTTGGCCAAAAGTCTATGCTCTAGCTTACCTTGTTCATGGTGAAGCCATTCTGTCCCGACGCGGAGGGGTTATCGCAATAAATGCTGTAAGAAACTCCATTAATGGCAGATGTGCAGTGCAATAACTTTGCAGGATCTTTGTCTACTTATGTGGCTTGTCCTTCTCTTGCCACGTGTTTAAATGTCATTGGTTCTTAATGCCATGTTGAGCTCCAGCAACATTGGGTTTTAGTATTTAAATTATGTATTGGACCCTAAGTGGTAGGCTATATCCTTTATGGACTTACCCGTCTCAATTATAAAGGTTATATGATTTTGATTTACAAAATAATTATAAAAGTCAATTAAAATTTTCACTTTGGCCTCAAGTGTACAACTATGCATATCCATCAAGATTTGTTATATTTTTACTGAAAGCTTTGGCTTCCCTCAATCTACAACTATACGTATCCAACAAGATTTGTGATATTTTTACTGAAAGGTTTGGCTTCCCTTAGTCTACAATATATTTGGATGGAAGGGTTTTGTTCGGATTAATAAGGCTATCACAACTTATGTTTTGATAATTTAAATTTTTTATTTTATAAAATTGCTCATGTATATCATTCATAATATAAAAACTAATAATTATAATTTATTACATTTATTTTTAAAAAATTATACCACAAGTATATTTTTAAAACATATTCATTTTTTATTTTATTTTTTTGTGACAAATGCAAAAGATTGAACTGATGACATTTTTTGTGTAAATAATATACATAAAATATTTTATAAAATGAACAATTTGTATTATAAAAACAAGACATATAGTGAACTTTACAGGTCCGAGCAACACTCATCAATATAGATAGTGAGACTTCTGTCGTTAAAGAAATGATTTCGAAGTTGAATTTTTTCATTTCACGGATCTTGTTTTAACGATTCAATCGTTCATAAATTAGTTCGATTCCATAATTGTAACATTTTTATTTTATCGTATTTCTCTCTAAAAAAATTAACAATAAATATATTATTAAAAACAGCCGTACATATAATCTGATTAATAACATTTGCAATCAAACATGGGCTTGTGAATCTTTGAACTAATAATCTCAATCTTATGTTAGGTTTAGAAGTTAAGAGAAATTAAGTCAAGTTTTGAAGATTCAAGAGATGGAGGACAAATGCCAATGTAAGAAGATGGAAGTTATATGGGTAGTTAAATGATGATTAATAGAAATTTTTTCCTACATTTTTTTTGTATAAATTGCTATTGATGGCTCTATTATAAAAAAGGACCAACAAATCAATACATGACTTGATTTTTATTTCTTTTCTATCCAAGGAGTAGATCTAATCTACATAGGAGTAGTCTTGATGTACTTGTATTTGATTGTTCATTCAATCATTTACATCATCATCATCATCTTTTTCTTTCTCTCTTTTTTCTTATTTGTTTTGTCATTATTTTTACTCCAAGGAAGTCCTAGAACTCTCAAGGTATAAAACCTCAACACAATTGCTTGATCATTATGTTGTTTGGTGAGATTTTAGTTAAAACTTTGTCGATCTAAACTTAACAAAAATTTTGTTAATAATATTCTGAAAGATTTATAAAATAAGTGAAAGGCTATGGTACACCTCTAAAAAGGTGTGTATTGTATATACCTTATGGCCTCGTTTGTTTTGGGGTGTAAAGGATGGGAGAGAATTAGGATGGATGTGAGGTTATTTAGTGTTGTGTTTGTTTGTAGAGTTAGGGAACAGATTAGGATGGAAGAGGGGATTAAGATGGAGGTTGAAAGAGAGATTGAGATGGAGGAGGTGGAGGTGGTATTAGAAAAATAGTGAGGGGATTAGAAATTTTATTTTTATTTTTATTTTTTACATATTGGGAGTTTTTTTTAAACATTAATGTTTAATTTTTTATATTTTTTTATTTGTTTTATTATTTTATATAAAAATAATTTAACAATTCTTACACTTACAACTATCATCAAAACAAACACAAATTTTCTTAATCCCCTCACTATAAATCCCCTTCATTCTACCTCTGAAAACAAACGAGACCTATAATTAAAGAAGAAAATGATATAATTTCATATTTTCTAACCTAAACACTAGGGGTGGGCAACGGTTTATCCGAACTGCTCAAACCGCCCAATCCGCATATAAATGGGCGGTTTCGCAAACATAATGCGGACGGATGCGGTTTGAAATATGATAAATTTGCGGGTTGTGGGCGGGTCGCGGTTTAAACCCGCAACCCGCAAAAACCGCCCGCACTTTAATTATTATTATTATTATTTTTTATATACTAACTTTGTAACTTTTACAGAAGCACCATTATATTCTCTATGACACTAGGATCCTTATTTTTAAGTATTTCTCAACTTTCTTAATGCCGTAGAATTATCAAGTCCTAACCTTAGTTTCTTATATGATTTTCATTGGTGATTCATCCACTTTTTCCTAATAAAATTTTCCTTCTAATGGTCGATGGAACTTATAGTTTGATTATTGATTACTGAACTGGCAATTCTAATTGAGAACAACCTTTAATGCATTGATATATATTTTTTTTATGGCAAAAATGCAAGTGTAGGGTCTCTTTGTTTTGGGTACTTTCATTTAATGCATTGATATTCAATTTTTATTTGTAAACTCATCAGAAAATTGTTATCACAAATATATAAAATGAATCTGATGCCTAAATTCGCTGGGGTTGGTGGAGATGAAAAAATTCAGAATAAATAAAAAATTATTTTTAAAAAAATATATTACATTATAAGAATTTAAGAAATTTAATAAAAACAAAAATAGATTCAAATATTTTTTTGTTTATAATTTAAATTTTATAATCCTAAGTAAAAAGGGAAAGACTATGGTACACAAGGCTGTGCAAGGTATGCATTTCATAATTAACAAAAAAATGATACAAATTCATACTTTTTAATTCATAAGTAAAAAATAATAATTATAATAATAATAACACTGGGGCATAACTAAAAGTCTCATGAAATATAACTAAAATAAGATCATTATCAAATAGAAAAATTAATTATAACTAAGGCCTCGTTTGGGAACAGGCTAATTTAGTAACTTTTTGACTATTTTGCTAAAATATGGGCTAAAAAAAATTAGTATGTTTGGGATAAATTTTTGACTTTTTACGAAAAGATATGCAAAAAGTAGAGAGAAAAGAGAATCTTTGACTTTTTGGTATGAGTTGTTGGCTTTTTAATTTTTTTAGTGACTTTTTGACTTTTTAACTAAAAAAATCACTTGCCAAACGAGACCTAAATAAGAAAATGACATAACTTAGAGATATATATGATAAGAGGGTGTATAATAAAATTTCTCATAAAATAGATAATTTAAATTATTAAAACGAATATCATTAAGTGTTTTTGGTTTAAGTTTTCTGGATTAAGTTTTTTGAAAATTGACTTTTTTTGTTTTCGTGTTTTTTTTGTTTTTAGTGAATGTTTTTTTAATTTTAAACATTTTTTTTATTTTTTTAGATGCACCTTACTTAGATGTATCTAAAAAGTAAAAAATTTGTGAAAAAATATTTTAAAAAATTAATAAATATATAAAAATACAAAAATGTACTGAATTCTTATATTTTTGGTATTTAGTGAATTTTTAAAAGATTTTTTTTACAATTTTTTACTTTTTAAGTATATTTATGTTAGGTGTGTCTAAAAAATAAAAAAATTACTTAAAATATTTTAAAAATTCAATAAAAACAAAAAAAAACACAAAAAATAAAAAAATAAAATTTTCTCAAAAATATTTTTTGAAAAATGAAAACAAGTAAGGTGATTATAATTAATTAATTAATGTTAAACAGATGTGAACTCAGAAACTCAATTAATTAACCGCAGCAAAAGCGAAACTACCTTCCATGATTTCCATCTTATAAAACCCTGTAGTCTATCTTGACAAAGTAGCACCCCACCTCAATTTTGAGATCAGAGACTCAAATTCAAAGGCCGGCAAACAAGAAGCCATGGCAATGGCGACCATGGCATATCTAACCGTCATAGCTCTTTCAATCACCGCCGTCGCATCCGACACCCCCGCCGCCACTCAATACACCAACCACACCGTCGGCGGCGTCTCCGGATGGTTCTTCAACACCACCACCAACACCTCCTCCACTAATTACACTTCTTGGGCCGCCTCTCAAACCTTCAATCTCGGTGACTATCTAAGTAAGTTCCCACACTTTTTTTTTTTTGCTCATTCGCTTGATCTGTCGTTTGTTTACCGAGAAAATTTGGGGAAAAGTACAGAGAGAGCAAGTTTCCTGATCTATTTCAACGCGTATTGATTTTAAGATCAGTTCTGTTTGATTCCCGAGAAAATGCAGGTATAGAAAGCAAAATTAAGTAGTTTTTAGTTACCTAATCTGTACTTACTGCGTTACTTCTCATGATCTGCTCAATTCAAGGTCAAATGTATCTTCCATTTGTTCGATTGCAGTTAGAATGAATGAAAACATACAAAATCTATTGATTTAAGTCCTCTGTTGTTCTGCTAGGTTCAGTTTTTCATAGGAGTATTTTTGTTTTGCTTAGCCCTGATTTATATCTCCGAGTCCGTTGCTTCATCTCATTTTCTCACAATCCAAACATCCTAACTAGTAGTAGGTTTCACAACCATTTGAAGTGCATTTTTAACGAAATGCCTAAGAACATCAATAATTGACTACCCTTTCTGTTAGTTTCTCGCCAACCAAACAGACCTTACTTTTCTCTATTTGTGATAATGTGTAGTATTCAACACAAATACGAATCAGACGGTGGTCCAAACCACCAACGACACGACCTACCAGAGCTGCAGCATGGACGACGCATCGAACGACACGTTCCACTACGGCGGAGGCAGCAACCAGTTCGGGCAGGCGATAGTGATCCCCGTGCCGTTGACGAGCCAAGGGACGAACTACTTCTTCTCCGACACCGACGATACGATCCAGTGCCAGCAAGGGATGGCCTTCCAGATCTTCGTCAATCTCGGCCTCGGCCTCCCTCCGAGCCTCAACCAGCCTCCTCCTCCGCCCTACGTCGAGCCTCCGACGCCGTCCGATTTTCCGTCGCCACCCGGCACGGTGGTCACCACCAACCAGCAGACTAGTGGCGGTGCCAACTTGCGTTGGGAGATTTGGGATATGCTTTTTGGAGCTTGTTTATTATTAGCATGGCGGGGGTTGTAATTTGGAAGATTTCTGAGGCTAAAGTTGGGGATTTGAGAGCGTGGGTTTGGGTTGGCATTAGTCACATTGAATATTGTTTGGTTAACAGCCGTAGGATGAACTTTTCAACGGATGCCATTTCATGTTTTGTTTTTTTTTGGCACTAGATTCAAATACAATTCTTTCATCACATGTTTCTCTGATAAGTATTGACTCCCTGCTGTCTTTCTAGCGCTGAGCAAAGAATTCGCGAAATTCGTAATTCGATTCAGTTCAGTCCAATTTAATAGGTTTGGATTGATTTTTTGAATTCGTAGTTTGATTTCAGATTGAAGAATTAAAAATTCGTAGTCTACGGATTGGTTCCGGATTGAATCCCACGGTTCCGGATTGGAATCGATATGCACCGTATGTAAATAGTCTATATTTTTATTATACATCCTCTCTCAGAGTATCTTCTCTTATTATATATAAAATCTAAACTTAAACCTAAAACCGTATAATATCTTCTTTTATTACTTTTGTTTGTTAGTTTTTAATTTTAATTTGTAATGGTCTAAATACTTATGGTGAAATCAGTTTTCTTATAGTTGTTTAAATTCTAGAACAGTGTGTCTCTATTATAGAAAAACATATTGCTATTGTGAAACTAATATAACGCTATATTTATATTTTTTTGAAATTAAAGTGTTATATATATATATTTTTTGTTATTTAATTATGTGGATCTGTGGTCCTAAACCGATCAAATCCGTATTTAAATGGATTGGTTTGGATTGGTTTCATGATTTAAACGGATTGGATTGGTTCCAATTTTTCAGGAACCGTAGATAACGGATTGGTCTTGGTTTTACTTCAATCCAGTCCAATCCGGGCCATGCTCACCCCAATTTCTTTCTTTGTTTTTTAATTTTTTCTGTTGGGTTAATTACTTGTGCTCCATCCGTTTCAAAATAACAATTTTTTTAAAAAAAATTAATAGTATAATTATTACATTATAAAAAATTATTTTTTTAAAATTATCCTTTGATAATATATTTTTAAAAAATATATTAATTGTCATAATTATATTTTTTGTGTTGTTATTGAATTTAAAAGAATGGTAAAATAAGATTTTCATATTATTTTAATCATTAATTTTTAAAAATAGACTAATATTTTGAAATAATGAAAAATAGAATAAAAGACTAACATTTTGAGACAGAGCGAGTATAATTTCAGTTCATATACTTTCAATTTCTACAACCCTAGTTAAGGGTGATAAACAAAATAAACAATTTGAGTTTGACTTGTATTTGATTCGTTAAAAGTTTATTTGAGTTCAGCTTGTTAATAAACAAAGATAACGGATTGGTCTTGGTTTTACCTCAATCCAGTCCAATCCGGACCATGCTCACCCCAATTTCTTTCTTTGTTTTTTAATTTTTTCTGTTGGGTTAATTACTTGTGCTCCATCCGTTTCAAAATAACAATTTTTTTAAAAAAAATTAATAGTATAATTATTACATTATAAAAAATTATTTTTTTAAAATTATCCTTTGATAATATATTTTTAAAAAATATATTAATTGTCATAATTATATTTTTTGTGTTGTTATTGAATTTAAAAGAATGGTAAAATAAGATTTTCATATTATTTTAATCATTAATTTTTAAAAATAGACTAATATTTTGAAGAATAATGTTTGGGACCCCCTTTTGGGGGTCACCCCTCATCCCCTTTGCCACGTGGCAGGGGGTGATTGGTGGAGCAGGAAAAAAAAGAAAAAGAAAAAGAAAAGGTGACCAATGAGAGAGAGAGGGGGTCAAAGGGGGTGGGGGAAAAGGGGGGATGAATCATTACTCTATTTTGAAATAATGAAAAATAGAATAAAAGATTAACATTTTGAGACAGAGCGATACTTTCAATTTCTACAACCCTAGTTAAGGGTGATAAACAAAATAAACAATTTGAGTTTGACTTGTATTTGATTCGTTAATAGTTTATTTGAGTTCAGCTTGTTAATAAACAAATTAATTTTTAATATATTTTAAAACTCATTAAAATTCACAGTCGTTTTAATATTTTTTTATGATTTTTATTTTTAAATTTTAACCTTCTATCTTTTAGCTTCGATTAAACTAAAAATCCATTAATTTTGGGCTTTTTAGGCATAAAATAGTTTTTTTTTTTTTTGTATTTAACGGAATTTTTTCAAAATTTATTTAATTTTTAGCATCATCTAATCTAAACGGAATTAAAATATATTTAAAAAAATTAACTCAAATTTGAAAACAGGTTCACAAAAACAAGCTAAAAACTTAAGTTAGTATGTAAATTATTCAAAATTAAAAGTTGATCATTTATAAATGGAAGTTAAAAGTACTAATCTTGTAACCTTATGATAAGGGACATGTTAATGAGAGTCATTGAGTTGTCATCAAGAACACAAAATGAAAATATATGTTAATACAATTTTTACATATTTCAACTTTTTTATACATCCTTACACATTTTAATATATTATTTTAGAGCATTCTCATCAAACTCTTCAAAATCATTTTTTAACTAATAAATTTTAAAAAATCAACTACATCAAACTCGTTTGCAACTCGTCAAAATTTACGATAACTACAGTAACTTGTTAGAACAAGTGAGGCACTGCTCATCGCTACTTGTGTGTTACCGGATGTCCGCCCGAAAGTCCAGCCGGACGTCCGGCCAGTCAACCGGTCAATGGCAAATTTTATTTATTTATTTATTTTTTACTTTTTTTAAGAATTGTTTGGCTAGTAACTTATCAATTTAATAAACAAATAAAGACTAACAAACACAATAAGAAAATAATATTTAATAAGAATAAGTTAGAATAGAGAGTTTGATACAGTAGGTGCTAAAAAGTGACTAGCTAAAATAACAAAATAATTTTAATTTGACTAAAAATTTAAAGAGGTTGGTGTGGATGCTCTTACATATTCTCCAATGATTATGACAACTAAAGGATTGTTATTAGCATTTTCAATATGGTGATTAGTAATTTTTAGTTTATTTATACCATCTCCAACGGTGAACCAAACCCAGCATCAAATTCAAATTTTGATAAAAAATTTACTTTTTCAAGCTCCAACCGTTGCACCAAAGTCATATCAAAATGAGAATTCAGCAAACAAAACATCAAACTGAGACCAAGACACAGATTTTACCAAATCACTGTTACTGACCGTTGAAAGTGGTACACCGGTCAACCAACCGGTTGCCCGGCCGGTTGACCCCTTTGAAATAACTAGGTTCAAACCGGTCAAAAAAGGTTCAAACAGGTAAAAAAAAAAATTTGTCCAAACCGGTCGACCACTTCCCCAATTCTGCTTTGATGCTCACCGTTGGAGCGCCTCGTATCAAATTGAAAAAATCGTCATTTTTTTCATCAGATTTGATGAAAAAAGAAGTTAAGCGTTGGAGATGCTCTTACTGCTTAAAATGTGCATTAAATAATGGTCAAACGCATAATTTCAAAATTTTAATTTAAAAAGAAAACGAAGAAGCCCTTAATGACTGGTTTAAACTACACTGTAAAACTTAAAAGAGATAAACTTTGGGAGATTTGACAATAATCTAAATAAATAGTTTTTTTTGATCGGTAATCTAAATAAATAGTTTATTTGCTTGTTTTATCACATCATTTATTTATTTATATATATATTTTATAAAAAATCAAAAAATCACCACATAAGCAAAATCCAAACCACAAAAACTAAGCACTGGTTTGGTAGGTTGGAACTAAAATAATCACAAAAAGATAATAAAGTTTTTAGTCTTAAGTTAAAAAATGTCACATCTAAATTATAATAATTACATTTTTTCTCTCACAAAAGTCAAAAAAATCAAAAAGTCCATCATAAATGAGATTTTTTAGCTCCAGTCTAAAATAACTAAAAAATCAAAAAACAAACCCACATTCCAAACAAAGCCATACAAAATTTGTGCAAATTGAAATTATATGGATTAACATGACCATTAAAATAAGTTGAAAAGAAGGTTTCAAATTTGATGAAAGATGGCTACTTTTCTTGCTCCAACAATTTCATCAAATAGGTATCAAATCTAGGATTTCACTTTTTTTTCATCAAACTAAGGACCAATATGCTTTTCATCAAATCATTATTCATACCCTGTTTGATTTTCGCCACCAGATACCCCCTAAATGTCCCTCTAGATGTCTCCTGGATGACCATCTCAAGGCAAAAATTTGTAAAAAAATTACACTAGCCAGTTGACCCCGCCAGCCATCCGCCCAGTCGACCCTCAAATAACCACCGCAAGGCAAAAAATTGTGAAAATTTACACTACTCGATCAACTGGCTGAACATCCGCCCTGTTGACCAGTGTTTTGATGAATCTTCAAAAACCTTTGTTGGAGCACTTAATATCAAACGAAATTTCTATTTAAATTTAATGAAAATTTTGATACACCATTAGAGATGCTCTAAGTATTGCAAGTATGACACTCCATCCCTATCAAGTGAGTTGGCAAATCCAAGTAGTTAAACTTAAAATAAGAAGGAGCTTGTTTGGTTTGAATTTTTAGGATTCACGTTTTAGAAAATTAATTTTTTATTTTTCATTTTTTTTTTGTTATTATTATTATTATTATTATTATTATTATTTGTAAATATTCTAAACAACTTTTTTTAATTTTTAGATATACCTAACATAAATACATTTAAAAAGTACAATATTAGTAAAATAAAATTTTTAAAAAATTCACTAAATGCCAAAAATATTTTTTTAAAAATATGAGAATTCAATACAATTTTCATATTCTTGTGTATTTATCAATTTTTTAAAATATTTTTCTACAAATATTTTACTTTTTAGGTGCATCTGAAAAAATTAAAAAAAAATGCTTAAAATTTTAAAAATATCTACTAAAAATAAAAATAAAATATTAAAAAAAAACTCAATTTTAAAAAAAATAAATTCAAAATATTAAAATCAAACACATAAAATAATAAAGAGAATTTTATAATACACACCTACGAATCAAATCAAAATCAAAATCTACCCACTCCTATAATTTTTCTTTAATGTTTTAGGTCATAGTCAACAAAATGATCGCACAATTTCGGGCTTGGGCCACCAGAAATGTTAGTTCGTGAGTCGGTTCTGATCAATAATTAATATACAATATATATTTTATTTGAAATAAATTATTAATTGTTCATAAAATTCTACAAATTTAATATAATTATTCTAGGCTCCTTTAATTTATATAACATCTGAC